TTCACTGGTTTACTCCCTAGATGGGTACTACTGCTGGAGCTGGGTCAGGCCAAAGCCGGGAGCCAGGGCTCCATCTGGGTTTCCTACGTGGATGTAAGGGGCCCAAGCACCTGGGTCATCTTCTGTTACTTTTCCCTGATGGTTAGCAGAGAGCTGGATCACAAGTGGAGCCCCTGGGACATGAACCTATACCCTTATGGGATTCTTAAATTGCACATGATGGCTTTACCTGCTACACCACAATGTTAGCCCAGGAATAACTTTTGCCAAAAAAAGTGCAAGAAAGACAAAACACCAATATTGAAAACTGTAAAATTTTGTTTAAAGGAATTATGAAAAATATAGATAAATGGGACATCCTGTATTCATGGACTAGAAGATTTATCTTGCTAAGATAGTGAGACTCTCCAAATTGATCTATATATTCAACAGAAGTCATTATAAAAACCCAAATGACCTTATTGTAGCTACTGGCAAGTAAACCCTAAAACTCATATGTAGTGCCAGCTTCTGCCATTAGGGGAGTGGGCCTAGAGATTCGCATATATGCTTGGGGCCTGGTGGGAGGGCCACAGACCATCACGCTGGTGTGGTGTGCTAGGGATCTGTTCAAGTGCTTTGGTCCCTGCCAGGCAGATAGGATGTGGGCCAACACACCACCCCACCAGAAGAACAAGCTCAGGAAGACCAGGAAACCCACATGCTCATGGACACTGGGGATATGGATTGCTCAAGGACGGGGGTATGGCAACATGTGAGAGGGGGTACTGCTGAATGAGAATGTTACAAGTGAGGAATGACTTCTGGGGGACTTTGACCTACCAGGCCCTACATGTTAGCAAGGGTGCTGAGATGGAGTGGTTCAGGGAGAAAGGCTAGAGGATCTTTCTGGGTCAAACCAATGCACTCTCCCTGAGACCTGAGCTGGGCTAGTTAGTATCACTCATTTCTAACAATCAGCCACTGCAACACATGAAAGTTAAGGCAGGGGTCCTGCATGGCAGGACCAGATCATGGAACCTACCAGTGAGTGTCAGAACAGGGGATGTATCATATTAGGCTGGGCCATGACAATAAGGGTATGTGAGAGAACTGAATCTGGTAGTAGCTTCTGTGGGCTCACCCCTGAGTCTCAGCAATGTCTGTGACTTTGTTCAAGAGCTGCGGGTGACGATAGACTAAACTAGGCATGACCATTGAACTCATTGACAATCATTGGAACTGGAGTGGGGAACAGGTCAGAAGCTCTAGCAGGCTCCCCAAGAATGGGATGTGAAAATCTATCACACAAAATCTATCAGCACACACAGAGACTGAGAAGCAGACTGTGCTAGGTTAGGGCCTAACACTTGCTGCTGGTGGGGGAACTTGGAGAACTCCTCTGGCAGACTGTAGCTCCCACTGGTGAGCACATGAGTCAGTGCTGGGTGCTGGTGAGGCCAGACAAGGCTGCTCCATTTGTTGGCAAGTATGAGTTGGCTCAGGCAGGTAGATCAGGCAGGGCTGAGCCAAACCATAGCACACTGGCATCACAGGAGCCAGTAACAGGTGCTGGCCATGCAGAGCTAGGCTATCACACCTACCAGTTTGCATGACAGCCAAGAATGGGGATCTGCTAAGCAGGATTAGACTTTAGCAACCCCCAGTGAAAGTTGGGACTGAGAGCAGGCCAAGCCAGGGCAGGCTGCAACGTCCAATGGCAAGAGATAAGACTGTAGTTAGGCCATGCCAGACTGGGTTGGAACAATCGTGGGAACATGCAAGATATGGCTGGGAGTAGGCCTGGCAGGAAAGCTGAGGGGACACCACTGTTAAGCTGTAGTTTCCACTGGTGAGTGCGAGAACCAAGAATGGGGATGGACCTGGTTGAACATAACTGAAGCATCCTTTGGCATCTGTGTGGGCTGAGTCTGGGGGTGTGACAGACTGGGCTGGCCTTCAACACTCACTGGTACTTGCAAGAGTCAGTGTGAGTATGGAGCAGGTTGGGCTAGGTCATTGCACCTGCCGATCCACATGAGAGCTGGGTCTTGGAATGGGCCAGGCAGGGCTGAGCTGTACCACCCACCAGCAAGAGCCAGAATTAGTGTAAGCTAGTCTGGCAAGGCCACAGATAAGGACTGGAGGTGGGCCAAGTCAAGCTAAGCCAAACACCAGAAGTGTGCATGAGATCCATGACTGGAAGCTGGTCTAATGGGGGAACTAAGGTCCGAGATTATCCTTTTTTTTCCTCCTCCTAGACATTAACTGTGGTTGCCAAAAACACAACTGATGTTCTAATTAGAAAGAGCAAACTTCAGGGACTGGCACAGTGGCTCACACAGGCTAATCCTCCACTTGTGGTACTGGCATCCCATATGTGCACTGGTTTATGTCCTGGCTGCTCCACTTCTGATCCAGCTTGCTGCTTATGAACTGGAAAAGCAGCAGAAGATGGCTCCAGCCATTGGGCCTCTGCAGTCATATGAGAGATGTGGGGTTGCAGCCAACCAGCTAGTGAACATGAAAATCCTCTTTCTCTATTTCTCCTTCTCTCTCTGTAATGCCTGCCTTTCAAATAAAAATAAATAAATCTTTAAAAATAAAAACAAAAAAGAATTGAGCGAAACTAGTGATATTAGAAAAGATCTTGTCTTTGGATCTCTATGGATTTTTTTTTATCAAGTATCATTGATAGGATATGTATGCACTGTTGTTATTTCCTGAGAAATCATATATGATTTTTGACTTATGGGATGGAGGAATAAATCAGAGAGCTCAGGGACATACCCAGCAGAGCCCATCAGGCCCCACAGTTCATTCTTCTCTGTCTTTGAGCTGCCGAGTGTTGTTGTGTATTTCCCATGACAGTCTGATCAGGTGGGTTTGGATGGAGGCTTTGTAGAAAGGCCCAGGAGAGTGGAGAGATAGACAGGGCTGGGTAATGGGGGAGGGGCCATGGTCAGCCCCTTCTTCTCCTTGCCCCTCCCAAGTATCAGAGCCCCTTTGTGATGAGGAGGCCATAGCTCTGTGATGCGGGCATTGGGGTTCTTACTCTGTTCTACTAAAAGTTTCAGCTGCTTGAGGGCGAAAGTGAGAGTCAATGGATGGAGCATCAAGTCTTTCCTCCAAAAGGTGTCCGTGTGCAGTGGCAGCGATCCAGCTGCACTTCCTACAGCACTGACATTGTGGTTGTCTTCCTGTGTGGACTGGGGCTCTTCCTCCTATTTCTCATCCTCAGACCTCCATCCTCACCACCTCACAAGAAAAGGAGGAACAGCAGGAAAGTAAGGAACCCTTGGCCAGAATCCAACAAATGATGTTTTTGCTTTCTTCCCCTCTTATTTTCATGTTCCCAGTCAACCAGAGAGACTCTGTAGATGGGAAATCTCAGGAAACGTCCTGCAGCAGTTGGCAGGGAGAGATAAGATTTTGATGTGAAGCTCTCAGGCTATCCCCGTGAGGGCACTGGAGAGCAGTGGGCCTCAGCTGGACTCTAACTCAGCAATGTTCATATGACTCACAGAATTTGAGATCTCTTAGGGCAGTGGGAGAGCCACAGGTTCTGAGCCCTGGCTCATCAGTTGCCTCTCTGGGACAAGTGGCTCAAGAGCATGCTTTTTACCCAAGCTGGGCTCATCTCAGGGCTGTGCTGGGAGGTGAGAGCTTCCATTCAGGGCCTGGAGTCATCCATTACCTCAGGCAGCAGGAATGCTCCCTGACAGCTCAGATGTGCTCCAGAACTGAGTCTGTTTACTCAAGAAGGGACCAGTGAGCAAGGACGCCTACAATAGATCCTACACAGAATATATCTCTAGGCTTTTAGAGGAATAAGAAATATTTTTGTTGAATTAAAAAAATAATAAGGTAGGCAAGAATTTGGTCATTTGGGATACCCAAATTGCACATGGGAGTGCCTAGTTCAAGTGATGATGGTTCAAGCAGAGCTTTTGTTCAGTCTGGACCATTGTAGCCATTCAGGGAATGAAACAGTGGATGGAGACTTTGTCTTTGCCAATCAAACATTTTTTGACAAAAATGAGCAAAGGAAGTAGCACAGAGCATCCTTACCAACATGGAGTAAGTCATGTTATTCAAGAGCACTGAATGTCTGTGGCTGGTTCAGGGGAAGGAGAGAGAACTGTGTCCCAGTCTGTCTTGCTTATCTCTCAGGGTCAAGTACAGACAAGGAGAAGGACCACAAACAAGGAGAAGAGCAGAGCTCTGAAAGGTAAGGTTCTTCCCTTTGACTTGGAGCCCTCACAGATGCTTTGAGCTCTCCTGTCCGTGGGAAGATAGACCCATATTCTGAACATGTCTGTGGGGAGGCTTCTGAGAAGTAGATTAGAACCAGTATACATTTTGGGCTGTGATGAATCTGTGATGAACCATGGAGTGTGCCAAACACTGCCTACATTTTGAAGTCCAGCTGTGGAGAAAGTGTTTCATCCCAGAAAGGCCAAATCCTCTTTGAGATAACCCCATGGGCCCTTCCTCCTTCACAGAGAGTTTTGAGGAAAGCAATGGGTGATGGATGCAGAAGCACTTGTACATACCGAAAGCTTCCCCCCCCCCCCCGTGCCTTGTCATTGTCAGGGGTTGTGTGGGTTGGACATTGACGCCTGGGCTCTGAAGTCTAGTCTCCCAGTGTCACGCTTAAAGGGACATTCCACTTGACCTCCTAGAGGGAACCCATACTCCTCCCGTCTCCCTCATAACCTAGTCTCCTGATTTCCAGCCTGCAGAGATTGCCTGGAGAACCTGAAGGAGGCTCGAGGCCTTGTTTCGCTTCTGCAAAGGTGAGGACTTTGCGTTTTATTCAATGTCCTTTCCTGCTACTAGAGCTTGTGACAATTATCCAGGGCCTGGAGATAACTCTGGGAGTGGGTGATAAAATAGAATGGAATGTGACCAAAGTCCCGGGTGAAGGATAGCAAGATCTATAAGGCAGGTGCGAACAATAGAGGGACCATGAACTGCATGGACCCAACCCTGCCCAGCAGGTCATGACTCCTGGCCCCATGCATTCCAGGCTGCAGCCTGTGCCTCTTGTCTCCTACAGCTACGTGGGGAAGCTCTCTGATGACAGCATTTCTCACCTGTCACACTGGGATCTTCCGGGAGATAAGCACAAACCAGCACCTGCTGGAAACAAGCAGCCTCACCGGGAGCCTGAGGAAGGTGTTTCTCCTGACACCTTGTCCACATTGGCTTCCCTGGCTCCTCCATCCCAGCCTCCTCCTCCTCCATCCCTGGCCCCCCTCCTGCCAGAAGAACCTCAGGAAGTCCAGTCTGACATGAAGAGAATCCCCGCAGGGCCTGTCCCAGAGAACTCTCCTCCACGGAACTCCTACTTGGCATCTCTCGGCACGGCCATCCCAGGATTTGACCGCTTAAGCAGCTCTATTTCACTCTTCTTCTGGTGGTGGCCAACTGCCAAGGCCTTGTTGCTCCTCACCTCACCACATGGCAGGTGCCAGCAAGGGCATCTTTCCTACCACCCACCAGAGGCCTCTCTCTGGGGAGATGCCACACACAGGCAGGTAGAGGCTAGTGGCCCCTCTTTCATCAACCCTGATGTACAGGAGCTGCTAGAAATGTCCATCTCCAAGAGAGTAGAACTGATGCTGAAAGCAGAAGAAAAGACTGGGTCACTCTTGAACCAAAGGTACTCAAGCTACATCCTGAGGTCTTTGGGAACTTTCTTGAGGTCCCTGAGTAGCAAGCAGGCCACCACCATGCCACAACCCTTCTGGAACCTGGGAAACAAACCAACACAGCTGCCAGATCCTCAGCATCTCTCTTATTCTGAGGTCTTTGGGGATGACCTAGAGCAGCAATACAGCCAACTCTTCTGGGGCCTCCCATCCCTGCACAGTGAGTCACTAGTAGCTACAGCCTGGACTCCTAGAAAGCCTTCTTCTGCACAAGTACCCTCAGTCCTATTCAATGGTGGCTCAAGCTTCTGTCCAGTACAAACCCATGCCAATATACCTCCCCAGCTTTCCCAAGCCCAGCTCTTGCCCTCCTCTCATGAGCCCCAATGCCAACCTTTGACTCAAAACTTGCCCCTACCTCTGGGTCAGTTCCATACCCAGGCCCATCTACCAAAAGAACCAATTCCATCTTCACCCCAGATTGGGGTCAATAAAGTGCCCTGTTCTCCATCTCAAGAGAAGACGATGACAGAGTCTTCCCTCCCAATTAAGAACCAGCAAATGGAATGGCCCTTGCAGAAGAGACTGAAGCAAAGGAAGGCTTTAATTTCTTTATTCAAAAACCCAAAGGAAGTTGCTGTCCAATCCACTCCCCACTTTCCCCAGGGCATGCGGGCCTCCCAGATTGACAAGACTGCCTCCACTCTTCCTGGGGATTCCATCAGCTCTCAGCAGGAGCAGCCAGAACAACAGAGTCAAGTGACGCTTCTTACTGATGAACAGGATGGCCCCCCATGCAAATTTGAGGATTCCCAGGAACAGACAAAGCCTCAGGGGAAATGCCCACAGATCTGTCACTGTCCGGCTATGGAAAAACATGACTTTTCCAAGCCCACCCGGCCCTGGGCATATACAGGTGACCCCAAAGTACAGGAATCAGGGTATGTGTGTTCTAAGAGACCCTTGAGCAAGGCTGCAGGAAAAGTCAAACAAGTCACAGCCAAAAAGGATTTAGATGCTGATGACCAGGAATACCTACCCTGGGATTCACAAGGAGCCTCAGTGAAAGTTCTAGAGGATCACGAGGATGAGTCAAAATGTAGCGTCACCATCCCTTGGGAGTGTGACTGTATAAATTACAAACCTAAGAGTCCAGATAAGAAGCATCTAAAAAAGGCCCTGAATGTCCATTTGAACAAAACATTGGGACAGATCAAGGAAGGCAGGATCCCTGTGAGAGTGCGCAAGTCCTGGTTTGTTGCAAATCATTCTTTGCCCAAGCCCAACATCCCCCCAAAACACAGAAAGCTAATATTCTTAAAGAGTCGACCCCCCAGTGTGAACACATCCAGAAAGCTTTCTTTCCTCAATCCCCTCACTCGGTTTTTGCTGGAAACACACCTAAAAAGGTTTGATGCATGGTATGGGTGGTTTCTGCTGAAGAAGGCGCATGAGGGCACAAATCTCAATGCAGAAGCAAAGCAAGCTTCATCTCTCTCACAGTGCACCCTTCCTCTCTCTGCTGTCTGTGCAGCTGAAGCTAACATAAGAACCAAAATTGCCAGTTATCTGGAGAGTCATGCTGAAAATGAGACAAGAGAGCAGAGGGCAGAACAGTCAGGACAGATCACAGAGCAGCTTTTCTGTCCCTCATCACCCGAGCATATCAAAGTCCAAAGGGTCCCGACAACGAGGCCAACTGCTTGCACCTGTGGATTCTCAGCGGCCCCTGCAACCAGACAGGAGCCCAAGCAGCCTGCTACGGAGCCTGTCACTTCCACTCCTTTGGGTAGAAGCCAACTGGGCAGGACTGTTCAAAGAGTCGAGAGCCCAGAGTGGAGGCCTGATCCAGTGATGGCCAGGAGTGAGCCCCAGGATAAGAGTTACAAAGCAGCCTTAGCCGACCCTTGCTACGGCCTAGAGAGGCACAAGACCAAAAAGGGATCACAGCCTACAATGGCTGAAGACATGAGTCAGAGAGGGAAGGCTAAAGGGAAGTCGCATACTTGGGGTGTCGCTGTGGAAGCCAGTGTGATGACAGATATGCAAGCCATTGATATGAGTCTCAACTTAAAACCTCAGGGGAGCAGGAGACATTCTCAGCCCCCAAGAACTTCTGCTGTTTGTAGTGCTGGACAGCTGGGGCAGAGGGCACAGGGTAGCAATGAACTGGAGGGCCAAGCAGAGGTAGACTCGGAGAAACTGCCTCCACGTCAAGTTGCTGGCATCACCCAACAAAAAGGCACTGCTCTCACTTTTCCCACCACAGATATCCTGGCTTCTCAGGCCTCTTGGGTAGCTTCCCAGAGTCTGTCTAGTGGCAAGACATCTGCTCCTCAGGGGCTTAGTGACCGCCTTCCAAATGCAATGAATGACCAGGGACAACAAGAGGCCAGGATCCCAAACATTATAGGCCCATGGAAGAGTGAGAGCGAGATGTTCATTTCTCCTGACAAGAGGTCCAAATCTGAAGGACTGAAAGAAAGGGCTGCCAAAAAAAGAGTCACCATTGCTGGTGGGATGAGCCACCCCACCAGGGACAGGGAACCAGAAGTCATGCCATTTCTGCCTCAGAAGGTGCTAACACCCCCAGACATCCATGTTCAACAAACAATGAAGCCTTCCCTGCAGTGGTTTAGCCCTACTCCAAAAGGCACAGAGTGGAAAGATACCCTAGAAAGTGGCATGCCTGCATCGGCCACTGCTCAGAGCCACACACCGTGCCTAGAGAAAATGATCACAGAGAGGAAAGAGGCGGAGGCCCAGGCAATCATAACTGCTGTGGCAAAGGTCTTGATAAACAAGCTGGGGCTTCAGCAGCAACCTGGTCCTGCACAGTTACAGAAAAAGGAACCTCAGGCCATGCTGTTGGGGAGGTCTAGCCTCCGCAGCGGTTCATCCTGCCCAGAGAAAAAGAGGGTGGTGATAGATCCAGCCTTTATAAAGCTGACCACCCCTAAAGGCCTCAGCCGTTCTGTCAAGAGCAGGTGGATAGAGAAGGAGAACAAGCTGGTGTCTTCACCCAGGGAGCTGGTGTCCCCAACCAGCCCCAGCCAGCACAGGCTGACAGTAACACGTATCTCAAGCTGGCGCGTGCATTGCCCCAGCAACTACCTGCTTCAGCAGGATGTCTCATTTGGTCAAACACAGCATGCTTCCAGTGCCTTTCTTAGTGGGAAAAGTTTTACCCCAGAGAAGAGTTCATTTCTGCAGAGGAAATCCACTTAGTCTCGTGTCGACATGTCCTTCACATCGTAAGTCTCCTTCCTACAAAGACATGTACTCCTTCCTAATACACATGTCTTCTCATCACGGGTGTGGCTTTTGTCTGTGCTGGGATGGTGGGTGGGCACAAGGAAGCCGTCAGCTGCTCTCCCTGAGTGCAACTGCTTATCCCTCCTATTCCTGACCTTGAACGTTGTGTACCTGTGGGAGGTGCCTACAGGTACATCATGGATCCCAACTGCAAGTGACTGTGTAGGTTGTCCTGTACCTGAGCAAGAAGCAAGTGTTACTGTACTGGGAGAAAAGCAGCCAGAAAAGCAGCAGGCATTATAAACCTGGTTAATATATCAACCATAGTGGTATGCCAGTATAATTACTTATTCCCTTTTTTTAACACTATATGGGGAAGGCAGGGAACATGAGCCAAGACATGCACCCTGGTACTCTGGCAAGCGGGAGAGGTGGAAGAGGCTGTAGATCACCTAGGGATGTGTTGGAGTGGAGCAGCTGAGGGAATGTTTGACAGGGAAGGAATGACTTCAAAGAGCTTCCACAGATTGAACCACTGCACACTCAGGTACGCAAGGAAGCTGAGACAGTGGGTTAGAGGGGTGGAGGTACCCAGAGCGCATGTCTGGTTCAGGCCAAGGCACCCAGCCACATGAGAGGCTTAGGCTGGACTAAATAGCATTGCCTGCTGTTTGATGGTGCATGCAAAAGCTTGGGGTGGAAGGCATGCCTAACTGGCCTAGACTGTAGTACCCACCTGTGAATGTCAGAGCAGGAGGTGAGACATACAAGGCTGGGCCACAGCACCCACCAGAAAGCAAGAGAACTGAATCTGGGGGTCAATTCAGTAAAGGATTTGTAGATTCGCCTCTGTGGGACTGCAGCACTTGAAAGTTTGCACAAAGAGCTGAGAGTAGTGATAGGCCAAGCCAGGCTAGACCACAGAACTCACCAGACAGGAACCCACCTGACACTCAGGGGAGATGGGGCTGGGGCTGGGAGGATGCCAGGTTGGTCCAGGCTACAGCAGCCACTGGCACATGCAAAGGCCAAGACTGAGGGCAGACCATGCCAAGCAAGGCCACTCTACCCACTGGCAAGTGTGAGATGCAGGGCTGGAAGCAGATCTGGTAGGGAAACTTGGGGAATTCCTTTACTATGCTGCAGCACCCACTGGGGAGCACAAGAGCATGGCTGGAGGCAGGCCAAGCCAGGCTGTAGCACTCCTCAGTATTAGTATGGGCTGGCCAGGTCTGGGGACAGGCCAGGCGGGGCTAGGCTGCAGCACCTGATGATACACATGAGAGCTGGGATAGGATATGGGTCATGCCTTGCTGTGCTAGATGCAACACCCCCTAGCAAGAGCTGAGTCTGGGGCTGGGCCATGCTGGGCTGGTTCAAAGCACCCACTAGCAAGTGCCAGACTCTGGGCTGGGAATGGGCCTGGGAGCAGAATTACTGGGCTGCAGCTCCTGCTGGTGAGAGCTAGGACTATCGGTAGACCAATCTGGGCAAGGCTACAGCATCCATCAGCATGCCTGTGGGCTGGGTTGGGGGTGGGCCAGACTTGGCTAGGCTTTAGCACTCACCAGAGCTCAGACAGCCAGGATAGTTGTGGGCCAGACTAGGTCAGGCTGTGGAAACCACCAAGTTACATGCAAGCTGGGTGCTTGGTATGAGGGTGAACCAGGCTGGGCTAGGCTGTAGCACCCACCAGTAAGAATCAGAATGGGTGTGAGCCGGTTGAGCTTGGCCGCAGTGCTCATGAAATCCAGGGTTTGGAACAGGCTTGGTAGGGGAACATGGGGAACTCCCCTGCAAGGCTGCAGCTCCTCCTGGCAAGTAGGAGAGCCAGGGCTATACAAAGGCCAGATGGGACTGCAGTGCCAATCAACATATGTGTAGTTGGGTTTGGGGTCAGGGCAGGCTAGGATAGTCCACATCACACACCGATGCAAGCAAGAGCCAGGATGAGTTGCAGGCCAGGGTGGGTTGGACTGCAACACCTGCCAGGTCACATGAGTGTTGGAGGTGGGCCAGGCTGGTCTGGGCTACTGCACCTGCTAACAAATGCTGAGGTTGGGGCGGACCCTATCAGACTGGGCTGCAGCACCCACTGGCACACACAAGACCCAGGAATGGGAGTGGGCCTGTTAGAGGAACTTTGGGTACTCCCTAGTTGGGCCATTGTTTCCACTTGTGAGTTTGAGAGCTGACATGGAGGGTGGGCTAGGCTGGGCTAGGCTGCTGTGCCCACTGGCACATGTGAGAGCTAGAATGGATATGGGCCAACTAGGCTAGCCTGCAGCACCAGTTGGTAAGTGGTATGACTCATGTCAGGCTGAACTGTAGTATTCCCTGGCAGGTGCAGGATCTGGATCAGGGAGCATGCCTGGCAGGGGAACCACAGGTACTCTCCTACTAGGCTGCACCTACCACTGGTGAACAAGAAAACCAGGGGTGATAGCAGGCCAGGCTAGAAAAGGTGGAGACAACCGTTGGCATGCCTTTGGGACAGGTCTGGAATGGGTCAAGCTAATCTAAACCACAGTACCCATGGGTGTGTCCAAGAGCTAGATTGGATGTGGGCCATGTTTGGCTAAGCCACAGCAGAGGCTGGCACATGCAAACACTTGCTGGAGGTTGGCCTGTTGGAGGTTAATGGGGGTTTCCCTGACTAGGCCACAGCATCCATTGGTGTACAAGAGAAACAAGTCTATGATGGGCTGGCTGGGCTAGGCTACAGCGCCCATTGGCTTGCATGAGATATGAGTCTGGGGCTGAACTGACCAAGCAGTTGCATCTACGTGTTTACACATTGGCTGGTGCAGATGACAGACTGAACATGACCCTGCGCTGGCTGGCTCAAACAAGTCAAGACTGAGGTCACCCCAAGCAAGGTTTCTTGGGGGACTCCCCAACTAGATTCTTGGACTTAGACCCAGTCCCTCAGCAAAATTACAGCCACCCCCAAAAATGTGTGGTTTCATCTTGGAGTACATATATTGGGATTGGGCCTCCTCAGTTGCTGATGTCGGTTCAGTGGACATCAAGCCAAGATGCTCACAGGGAATGTGACTGGCAACTCGTCTAGGCCAACAGGGATATAAACTGTCTCATCAAACTGTCTCATCAAAGGATGGGAAGCAGAACAGTTGCACAATTTTCCGGGTCAAGCTAGTAGTATGTTCCTGAATCTGGATACGCTAAGGTGGACACTGTCAATCAATAGATCTTGGAAAGATGTTCTCAACCCTGGAGCAACAAAACAATAACTTTTCAGAACTATCAAGCAACTTGCTCGGAACACTCTTTCCCATATTGGGGTTTCTGAGGTATCAAAGGACCATCCCCCATCCATGGGTGCTGATACAGTCAGCAGTCCCTGATGCATCCTCCCCTGTGGACGCAGGAGTCCCACCCATCTTTCTCCATACTTGATGACCCTACTCACCCTAATTACAGATGCACTCTAACATGGGTGTGCATCTCTTTTAATTATGTAAACACTATTCAAAAAAAGATTTAAAAATCATGGAGTCAGGAAGTGTCACATATCACAGAGATGGCATGGGTAACTTGGGGGTGGTGTAGGGGATATCATGTATTAAGCCTGAGTTCAGAGGTGGCAGATATCTCTTGCCAGGGGATAGACAATGACTGATTTGGGGGCCCCTTCCAGTTCTGGTGAAGATGTGAGAAAAATGGGTCTTTCCAGCCCCTCTGGGCTCAGCCTGTTGGCATGGCAGTGTCACCCATCCTACTCTGCCCCACCCTCCACAACTTGCCACAGTAGTGACAAGAACAGAACCTGCAACTTCTCTTTGTGGTCAGGCTGCTGGAACCAGGTGTCCCAACCCATGGTCACCTGCCTTCACCTCTAGGCACGACTTCCTGTGCAGTAATTATCTCAAGGTCAGCTGGGGCAGGGAGATGTGGGAGAGGAATGGAGACAATAACATTCAGGGAAGGAGGCAGAGACATGAGGGCACCATGCACAGGAGTCCTTTGTCACCCAAAGTCAGTGTCAGACCTGGAGCGGCCAGACCTCAGGGCAAAGTAGCTCAACTCCAGAGTCACATCCCTGGGACCACTTGGCTCTGCCTCCCAGAAGTAGATATGTGTGTGTGTGTGTGTGTGTGTGTGTGTGTGTGTGTGTGTGTGTGCATCTAACACACGTACAGATGTGGCGCAGGCTTTGAGGAGCCCCTTTAAGTTAACGCCAAGGGCCAGAATCAAGAAGACATGAAACCTTCACATAGGGAAGGTGGATTTCCTAACAGCCTATTTCATAAGTTTGCTCAAAATCTCCACTGAATTCTTTAGAAGGATGAATTGAAAACCAGGACTATAAAACTCTGATGTGATTCATGTACTAGGGACCTTTATTTACACACAACACCACTCTGTTGGAGTGTTTACTCACCCTGTAGTAGGGCAGAGGTGAAGATATACAAGCATCCAGGGCTGTAGGACACAGTGACCCTTAAGAAAGGCAAGTAAGCACAGACCCACCATGTCCTGTCTGGGCCTCGTGACCGAGTGTCCGACCCCAGGCTGGGCTCAGCATGCAGAACAGAACCAGGCCATGGGAGAAGCTGACCATTAGGCCAGTCTCCTGTCTATTGACAGTTGGGTACATAGAGTTAGGAACCCTAGTAACAGCTGCTCAGGACCCTGAGAGGCAGGTTCTGGTATATGGTAGAGCTGGATGAATATCCTGGGGCTTGGTTGGGTAATACCAGTGACCCTAGGGTCCTGCAAGTCCCCATGTTTTCTGCTGTATCTGCCCTGCCCTCCACGACATGCAACAAGGACACACATGGAGAGTCCTCCATGGACACCTCCACAGAGAGCCCTGGAAGACATCTCCACAAGCACCTGTGACATAAACCTTCACATTGGTTTCTGTAGAATTCAGGTACCTCTACTAAGTCTTCCACAGGGAGACAGGGAGTAGGAGTGAGATATTTATCACAGGCATTCCCACTGTA